GTATTCTGTAAAATCCTTGTTAAGTAGGAGTTTCGACTGAAATTTTAACAGATCTTCTGCAAACACTTGTCTTATAAAATTCAAGAGCAGTAACAGCTTTTCGTCATTATACTTTAACTATTGTTCTTACAGTTATTCGTGGCAACAGATCCATCCAGATTGGCACAGCGGTATGTGCTTGTTGTAATTTGTTTGCTCGTTGTTTGTTTCAATATAGCACTAACTTGTTGTTCAGTGTTCTTCAGATGCAGAGGATGAGAAGATTAAGAAGAAGATGTAGGTAGATGTTTGGTTGTTTTTGTTCTGCCCCTAACTTGTTCTTTAGGCTTTTTTCTGATGTGGAGGCCGAGAAGATCATAAAGAGGAAGTCAAGAGTGTAAGTGTGTCTGTTTCTGTTATTCATTAAAATCTGTTAATTTTTGTTTGTGTCTCTTATATAATGACTTGGCCAGCCATGGTCAATCAACATGTTTTACAGTAAGTTTAACCAATTATTTTTACTTAGTTTTGGACTGAGTATTAAAGAGATAAGTTTTTTGAAAAGACAAAATTCTTGACTTCGATGTTTCGGTGTTTGCAGATGATCGATCAATAAAATGTTTTATTTATGAACACACTATCACAACACATACACATAAATAAGTATTTGCAAAGTTCTACTTAAATTAGAGAGTTCCCTGCTCTCAGATTTAGGGAAGAAGTTCTACAAAAGTTAATGTCTTTCAAAATAGACTTCTGCCACCTATTTCGGAACAGCTTTGCACAAAATTTAACGTACCTTAATACAAGTAATAAGCTTAGCAAATACTATGTAAATCAAAGGATCGTATACATAAAATATACAGTGCGCTATTCAGGACATTATTCAAGCATTTCATACATTTATTCTACATCCTCAAATTATTTTAAATTTATTGTTAGATCTTGGCTTATAAAGGCATATTGAATGGTTGTGCAAAATAATAAACTTTATAGAAAGTGAACCGATTTTTTTTCATTCTAGTCTCTTGTTTTCGTTATGATTGACGTTGACAGTCAGTGTAGCCAGTGGGGTATTCAGCCCACAAGTTTTGGTCTTGCTATGTAAATTTTAGGTCATTAGCATAATTCATTTCTTTAGAAATCTGTTGATTTTACTGTGAGTGAACACAGAAAAATTAACAAAGCAGGACAAAATTTGCGGGCTGGCCATGCGAACGCCAAAAAGCATCGCCCATGAAACCTAAGTCTCATAGATAAATCTTGTAGAGGTTGAATGGCTCATTTGACGTCACAACAATTGGTCCAATGCAAAGGAAATTTGCATAAAAGAAAACATGTTTTTATGATGAATTTATGAGGTTTGGTACCAAAGCTTGCAAGAAATTCAATTGTGATTGAATGGACAAATTTTAGAGCGTCCAAAAAAAAAAGAATCCACATAATTAATTATGCATTCGATATAATTGTTATGAATAGTAAAGTAATTCGAAACAGTTAAATGAACTTTAGCTAACAGTTTTATGAACAGAGTTAGCACAAGGTAAAAATTACAGAAGGCTCATTCAAGTATACTGCGTCCTAACGGCCGCCATTATTCCAGCAAGATATTTAGGGGCTTTTCACTTGTTAGAGTTGTTTCCAATCCCTGCAATAACCTGACGTCATTACTTTGTAATGAAAGACTTCATGATGGTTTCCAATAGTTGCAACGAACACAGTAAACAGTAACGTGCATAACCTAGGCCCTGTTTTCATGAAACCGGAATGAAGTCAAAGCGGTACCAGATCATTTTGATTATAGTATTATTTATAATAGATGTTTACATGGGACCGTTACGAAAATGACTCAAAGCGGTCTGAAGTCATACCGCCTGCTGAACCGATCCGACTGAGTTAAGAACTGTATGAATTGAAACCGGTATCAATTAATGTAAACTCAAATTAACTTTCAGATTGGTCTGAAATGGCAATAACGCATTCCAACAAAAACAAATTACAAAAACAAAATGAATAGCAAGTGCAAAACTATCCTGCAAATGAGGCATTACACGAATAAGGATTTTTCGTGATTTCGTGCCGGTCCCATGTAAACATGCAACAAATTCTGATTTTCATTCCGGTTTGACTTTGTTCCGGTCTCATGTAAACAGGGCCTTAATTATCCAGGCGAAACAAATAGCTAATGTAGACTAAATTATTTTGTGAATCTTTCATATTAATTCATACACAATTATTTGAGGGGTTCCGTTTTTTTGGACACTTTGATCGTAAATCCTTAACTTAATCTTATGTACAAATTATGTCCGACACTCTTGCCTTAACAATGCTGAGATTTTCAAGCTCCAAAACAAGTTTACATGAAGTAGTGCCAAAATTGAGTTGGTAGTTTCAGAGAACAGATGCTTTCACAGCGAATTGAAAATCCTTGCAGATATCGAGCTCCAGTTCAATATCTTCAAGCTGATAATTCCTCCTCTGCGGAATTGGACACTTTACAATATTCACAGATGATCGATAACTGTGTACAACTAATACTCATTCATGTATCTTCTAATTCAATAGTTTTAGACTAAAATCAATTACATTTTGTAGAATATGAATGTGTTTGTAACCACCATCCCCATTACCAATCTTCCGCAGTCCTTGCACGAAAAATCTGAATCAAAGTTATTAAGGATGTTTGTTCAATGAAAAACGTGATAAAATATTCCGTACCTTTCTTTCTGAATAACTTTTTTTAATCAAAAGCTGAATAAACTCGTCGAACAAATTTTTCTCTGATGGTTATGCTTCTTTAATCAAATTTTAAGCTTTTTGGAATTAGGAATAGCTTGGAAAGCTGGTGGATTTGACAACATGTATTCTGGAATTGGTTCTTTGACTGTGTTTTCACCTATTGCAGGTAACTGAAGATTTGCCTGTGCCAATAAAGATAAGCAAATGGTCTAAAGATTTACTTTAATTCTGTAAATATTTCTGTGCTTACTGAGTATAGGAAAACTAATTTAGAAGAGATAAATCATAAATGCTAATAAATGAAAATTGCAGGCTGGGTAAGCTAATGTCTTTCATATTTGTGTAGCTACTTATTTGTAATTCTTATTTGCCAACTACGTACATTTCACTTCTACTCATTCATTTAGCTGCAACCTTTTCATGTACGCATGAACTTGTAAAGAGTATCGATAGATCATTAATGCAGATTCACATAGGACACCATCTGATGTCGTTATAAACATGATGGCAGCTTATATTGGAGAGTGTTGATAGATGAAATATATGAATGCATGAAGATGAATTAAACATAAAGCTATACAACTAGGTAAACAAAAAGGTAGACACAAAGTTAGCTGCAAAGGTAGACACAATAAGTAGACATAAAAGTGGTCACTTAGATAGACCGTACACAAAAGGCACACAAAAATAAGGCATAAAGGAACATTATAAAAGTACATATGAAGGAAGACACAAAGGTAAGCATGAAAGTAGGAGAAATTGTAGACAAGAGTGCACCAAGGTAGGCTTTAACAGTAGACACAAGGTTAAACATTATGGATGACATATAGGTAAGCAAAGATTTTGACAGAAAAGTAGACAAAAGTAACACATAAAATTAAAGATACGATTTGACGCAAAAGTAGACAAAATTTAAAACAAACGTAGAAAAATTTTGGACAAAACAGTACACACGCAGACACAGCAGTACACATAAAGATCAAAACCAAGGTAGACATAAAGAAAGAAACAAAGGTAGAGAAATATGTGCATTTTTTCCCCCCTTTCATGTTAAGTCGTCAGAATGAAATTTATTGTTCATGTTTGATATTTATAGAATGATTGTCCTTTTGCTTGTTTCGATCCTCATTGGAGAAGATCAAGGTCCATTTGGTGACCAGTCAAAATGGTCCACTTGGTGATCAGTACCAACGATAAGCCTTAGTATAACATTCTTGAAGTTAGCCATCTAGTCAAATGACTTTTGCATTAAACAGAACAGTGTATCTGATAATGTGTATCAAACGTTGCCCTCAATGTTATTAGTGGTGCTATGAATTTTTTTCATCTGCCCAATTTGAAAATAGAAAATCGGAGTTTATGTTCAGTCTCGACAGACGATGAAAAACAAGCTATAATGCACAAAAACAGTTATCAAATAATCTTTTTTACATCTGTACACGTATTACCATAATGAAGCATATCATCACCGTCAAAGTAGCTAAACGGGGTCACGATTTTTTTCAAAATTCACTTTCATGTTTGAATTAAACTTGAGGCTATATTTACAAATTCATTCATTGTTATTTAGAAAGATTCGAATAACTTGAGTAGTAAAATGTTTTAGTCAGCATATTTTTACGTCTTTTGATATTAATATCCAGCAAGTAATGATTGTCTCACGCTGACATGTTTTGATGTCAATAATTTGAAAGAAATTTACTTACTATTTTCAAGTTTAAATGCTTTGCTTTGCCTATAGTTCTTTGAAATGTAATAAATGGTTGAAGAGTTTAACGTATTGCAATAAATATAATATGAATACTATTGCTTAAATTAGGGCAGCGTGTACTCTTGCTGTGCTATTGAAGTATACAAAAACAGCCAAGAGAAAAGACGAAACGTTTTAAATAGTTCTCACAGCAAACAATTTTATGATAAATGCATAGCAAAATGAAACATTCTTTATAAACATACAGGGTTTGTGAAAAAAGACAGCATTTAATATTCATAATATCTGCTTTGTTTTACATCATAAAAGATGTATGGCCTTTGGCATTTCAGAATACATATCTTCGTGACTATTTGCATTTCAACTGTACGATTATAAGCCATTTTAAATTCCCAGTGGGCAAAAATCTTAAGGAAAATGCAATGCAGAATATGAAAGTTGTCCTTCTTTTACACCCCATACATGTCTTTGCTACGATAGAGTTAAAATATGTGTTATAAACATCAGCTGAATAGAAATCATAAAGTGTATCATTCTTATCATAACAATTCCAAAGATGCTTCAAATTCCGTTGCGCAAGTTAATTTGTCACATATCGCCAATTGATGCTTCTGCCGTTTATCTTCCAAGGATGTTTCTATCTTGCTTGGATATCAGATAAGTCATATTCTAAAAACAAGACCGTTTAAATCGCCGCTAGCTAAAGGTACGTTACATAAACAATGAACAAAAATCATGCAGGTTTACGATGTATAAACGTCTCAATGTATTTCATTAGTGATGCAAAGCATTTAGCAATTTACTCAAACATTACAAAGTTATCGTTAACTATACTTTAGAAAACCTGTAGGCTGTACCAGTTACTTTACAAGTAGCAATTAGTTATCTTTTTTTAAAGCGCGTGCTGAGTTATAAAATTTAGGTATGTGTACATGAGCAATTGATACAATTTTTTTCCAGCACGGAATCAATATAATTATTTCAAGATTAATGTGCTATATTTTTTTAAACTATAACGTGATTTTTTCTTTGAAAATTTGAAATCGCAGTATTTATAAAGACAAACTAAACATTTGTGATCTTTTAAACTCGTAAGATGATAGATCTATAAAGAACTCTATTTCGATATGGAGAATTTAACAAATACTTATTATTCATGGTTTGCCGTTTGTGTAATTCTATATGAATGAAAAACTTCCTGTTACAGGGAATTGCTAACTGATGCCAAGGTCTTTTATTTTAATCGAAAACGTTTTATACATAGAAAAGATATAGTTGAAGAGAGTAACAGTGTAAGATGAAATATATATTAGTATTCAATGAAGATACAGTTATTTTTTATACTCTGTCTTAGAGGTTTAGATTTTCAAACTACTTGACTCTCTATATAAAATTGAAATCATTAGAAAGCTTGAATACTCCGAAATGCCTAATTAACATTGTAAATTTTGCTATATTAACAATGTATTCTAGAAAGTAAATTAAAAATTCCTTAAAAATTTTACGTCAAGTTCTACCATTCCTTTCGCTCATATTCACCAAAAAATACTTTGTGTTTAAAGTATTTCGCTAGACGGCAAAATCTTTTTTCATGCGTAAAGGATTTATGCTCACTAATGTCACTAATTTCATGACAAATGAGTGACAATGAGTCTCACGTTAATATTTTGCACGCTTGTGTAAGTTGTGTTTACCTCTTGTTTTGAGCTTCCGATATCAGATGCGGAGTTTACAGATTATTTTCTGACAGACCAAAATACGAAATAGCAGAGTGTATCTAACTGTCGCGGGTCGCGGGTCGCAGGTAAAAAGTCGCGTGTCGCAGGTAAAAGTCGCGTGTCGCGGGTAAAGTCGCGTGTCTAAAAAACACTTTTTTTGCATGTAAAAGTTTGAAAGAAGTGGATGTTAAATTCTCAGGAATTCTTTATTTCTATGTATGCTCACTTGAATGTGCTCTATGATCAACGCTCTCTGCTGTCAACATTAAAATATGTCACCTGTGCTTTGGATATTTGAGATTTGTGTTTGTTATACTTATCGAAATATACAAAACGATGCGTTATTAATTATTTATTAGTTACGAGGAATTATTATTAGTTACGGAATTATTATTAGTTACGAGGGTCGTTAAATTCTCTTAGTATTAAAGTTGTCAAACCCAGTTCATAAATTATAAAATAGGGTTTATTTATATGTGTAACTTGCACTTTCTCACGATTATAAATTTGCTTTTCTCAAGCAACTAAGTTCTTCATTACCATTGAAAGAGTTGTATCCAAATGAATCTTAAATGGTTAGTGATGCTTGGAATGAAAAGCTAACTATGTTTTCGATAGTGATTAGTGGATTTATTTTCACGTATTTATATCAACATTATATTTGGATACATAGAACAAAGACACATTGCCTATGAATCAGGATTTTACGCAACGCTTATGAGGTATTTCTATTGACAACAGAGAACGTGTATCTTACAGACACTGGCTCTAAGTGCATAGCACAGTCATAACAAATATTAGCCAGTAATTCAGGATTTATTTGTATACAACTCATGTAATGGATATAAAATATATTATTGCTAAGTAAAAGAAACTTTCCAATCGTGCGCAAGGAAAAATGGAAGCCGCGGTTTTACTTATATCATCTATCCATAGCTTATGAATTATGATCCTAAACGAAATGTGTTTACAACTTGAAGAGGATGTACGGAGTTTTCAACGATAATGTCCTCAACTTTGCAGCCTCTAATTATAGAATTTACATACTTGATACATTGTGTGTATCATAAGTATAACTTACACTTACCGACTATTGGAAAGTTGCGTTTCTCTTATAACTCTAAGTAATTCAATTTCCAATGCATACGAATTTTTACATTTAGCAATGCTATTCAATATCTTCTAAGTGTCATGTTAAGTTTTTAACAACATGTCTAGTTGTACACGAGTAATTCCTTGACTTGTTGACGGTTGGTAAGCACACAACTATATGCACGATTACAGCAATAAAGTTCTTTAAAGTTTAAATCCAACACATGTATGATAGTTATAAAAGACACAATTACACAAATCTTAATTATCCAAAGCACCAGTGACGTATTTTAATGTTGACTGCAGAGAACGTCGATTCATAAAGAACATTCAAGTGGGCATGCATAGAAATAACGAAGTTAATAATTCTGGAGAATTTAACATCGACTGCTTTCAAACTCTTCCATGCAAAAAAGTGTTTTTTAGACCTGCGACTTTACCCGCGACACGCGACTTTTTTCCCATATTTTCCATTGCTCTGCAAAGTTTATCTTTGAAATGCAAACAATTTTTCGTGTCGTAACGATAATATCACAATTAAGTCATGTTTTTTAATGTTGGTGATTTATTAATTAATCTTGGTATCTTCTTTCATAGTGTCGGAAAACATGGCAAGCTTAAACAATTATTGATGTCATGAAAAAGCGTCAATATTTCCAAAAAATACCACTACATCAGGATGATACTGATGATGCTGAAATTTTAAACAATCTTGGTGTACAGTATTATAAGAATGGCAAATATGACAAAGCTAAAGAATGTTACGAAAAATCACTAAAAATTCGTAAGAATTCATTAGGTCCGGATCATGTTGAATTAACTGATATTTTAACCAATCTTGGTGATGTTTACTTTAAAAGTGGAGGTTATGACAAAGCAAAGGAACTTCAAGAAAAAGCTCTAGACATTCGTAAAAGGTTTCTAGATCCAGATCATGTTGATGTTGCTCAGTCGTTAAACAAAATTGGTGTAGTGTATTATAGCAAGGACGAGTATGACAAAGCGAAAGAATGTTTTGAAGAGTCCATAAGAATTTATAAAAATTCATTTGGTACCGATCATGCTCAAGTAGCTGAAGTTTTAATCAATCTTGGTGATGTCTATTTTAAAACTGAAGACTATGGCAACGCAAAGGAAATTCAAGAAAAAGCTCTAGAAATTCGTAAAACTTCTCTGGGTCCAGATCATGTTCATGTTGCTCAGTCTTTAAACAGAGTTGGTGTAGTGTGTTATACCAATGGCGAGTATGACAAAGCTAAACAATGTTTTGAAGAATCACAAAAAATTTTTAATAAATTATTACGTCATGATCATGCTCAAGTCGCCACTGTTTTAAACAACCTTGGCAATGTATATTTGAAAGCTGGAGAATATAAAAAAGCTAAAGAGTCTCATGCAAAAGCTCTAAGAATTCGTAAAAAAACATTACAGGCAGATCATTTTGATACTGCTTTGTCTTTTAAAAACATTGGTGTGTTGTATGAAAATACTAGAGAACATGACAAAGCTAATAAGTTTCTTAAAGAAGCTCTAAGAATTTATGAAAAATCAATAGATCTACATCATGTTCAAGTCGCTAAAATTTTGAAGAACCTTGGTGATGTCTATTGGAAAACTGGCCGATATGACAAAGCTAAAGAGTTTCATGAGAAAAACCTGAATATTCGTAAAAAGTATTTAGGTTCAGATCACGTTGATGTTGCCAAGTCTTTGAACAGTGTTGGTAATGTGCATTATATCAATTGTGAATTTGATAAAGCTAAAGAATGTTATAAAGAATCGCTAGAAATTCGTAAAACATCATTACGTCCAGATCATGTTTACATCGCTACGATTTTAAACAATCTTGGTAATATCTATTTTAAAACAGGAGAAAATAATAAAGCCAAAGAGTTTCATGAAAAAGCTCTGGAAATTCGTAAAACATCTTTAGGTTTAGAACATGTTGACGTTGCTCAGTCTTTAATCAGTTTTGCTAATGTGTGTTATACCAATGGCGAGTATGACAAAGCTAAAGACGGTTATGAAAAATCATTAGAAATTCGTAAAAAATTACTACATCCTAATGATGTTTACGTCGCTACTGTTTTAAACAATCTTGGCAATGTCTATTCTAAAACTGGAGAATATGACAAAGCTGAAGAGTTTTATGAAAAAGCCTTAGAAATTTGTAAGAATTCTTTAGGTACAGACTACGTTCAAATAACTAAAATTTTAAACAACCTTGGTGATGTCTATTTGAAAAGTGGAAAATACGAAAAAGCTAAAGAGTGTCTCAAAACAGCCATAGAAATTCGTAAATATTTTTTAGGTCCAGATCATTTTGCTGTTGCTGAGCCTTTAGAAAGTCTTGGTTTAGTATATGAGGAGGTGGGAAAATATAAAAAGGCCAAACAATTCTACGAAAAAGCTCTTGACATTCGTAAAAAAGAATTAAGTTCAGATAATGTTGGTGTAAAGTCCTTAAACTGTTTGGATATTGTGCATTATCGCAAGTATAACAAAGCTAATGAATGCAATGCAGAATCACTGGAATTTTGTGAAAATCATTACGTACAGATCATTTTCAAGCTGGTAATGTTTTAAACCATCTTGGTAATGTATATTTGAAAACTGGTAAATATGAAAAAGCGAAAGGATTTTATGACAAAGCTCTGGAAATTCGTAAAAAATCTTTAGGGTCAGATCATGTTGATATTGCTGAGACTTTAAAAAGTCTTAGTTTAGTTTACAAGAAAACTGGAGAATATGACAAGGCCAAAGAGTTTTATGAAGAAGCGCTGGAAATTCAGAAAAAATCATTTGGTCCACGTCATGCTGATACTACTAATTCATTGAACCATTTTGGTACAATTTTGGAAGATGATGAAGCTGAAGAATTCCATGACAAAGCTCAAAATAACTTAGCAAGACCGCATGATGTTAATGTCGCCGTGTCTCCAAACAACTATTGTGGTACGTGTTGTTTATTTGAATTTTAGAATGTGATAATCTAAGAAATTTTATAATTGGGCTTGCAAACTTTCATATCATTTACGATAAAATTAAAAGGTGTAAAATGTTTTTTGAAATTATGCGAACATTTCAGGGTTTTTATTTTTTACTTTGTCGTTGAGAGCCGTTGTCAAACAGTAAAAGATTTCCACATTTTTAAGTAGCTACTTGATAAAGTCAAGTACGAATTTGAAATTTTCTTTAAAATTAAGTATGAAATATACAAGCAATCGTAATACAATATCACAAACACCATTGTCTGACGTGTGGAAGTTCTTGTTAAACAAAACACTTGAAGTAAAAGTACTTAAAGTATGTCTTACGTTGAACACAAAATATTTTAAACATTTATACTTATTCGAGAGCATATACCTAAGAAACGAGTTTTCATACTTTACTTTGCTACCAGTATATGATTGTACATTGTAAAAGTTTTAGGACATTTTTTAAATGAATGAAATTTAGTAAGAAAGGCGAGTTTTTGAAGTCCAGACGGTTGTATTATTACCCTTGTTAATTTAAGAAATGCATCAAGCCATTAAACTTCACGTATTAATACAGGTAGTAGCTTCGACATTTCTCAGTAATTGTTACTGATATGACGAGTAGCAGTTCCTGTTTCACTGCGATACATGATTGATATCACCAGGCTGTATGTTTTATGACTATTGATATTATTCAATATTAAAAATGTCCTTTAGTTTTTAGTTGGTATAGTCTCTTGCATGGCTTGCTTAAAATTCTTTCATTCTTTCCCCATATGTTTACAAGGCCTAGGTCAAGGTATTTGCAATGGATGGCGACAAACAGAAACTCTTTTCCTTGTATGCGTAGAGTTAATGTTGTATCCTCTATGGCATGCGGCACTATTCTAAAGGAAAATGAAATTTTCACCACGCTTATTTCTCCTATCTTGCAGAAGACTGCAACAAATGAGCCATGATTTTTTCTCATTATGCTTACTCTGGGAAAAAGACATTTGGGGGAGCTGGCTCTCTTTTACTCTTTTGACAATTGTTATCTCTTCAGTGATAAGTTCAAAAACTGTTTTATCTGAAAACAGCACTTTTTTCTTTTGTTCCTCTAACCAGGCTTTTCTATCAAATTCCTTCTCTTTTTCCCTCTTTTCCACTCTATTTTAGTTTGTCAGAATATTTTTATTTAAACTGGAAAGCGGAAATATATATATATTTTTTAATATATGTTAGTTATACATTAGACTCGACTGTGCATATGGACACTCTGCATTTCATGTTAACACATCATTTGTTCTCAACTGAGCATAAAAAATAATATGTTTGTGGATGAAGATCGTCCAGATTTTTAGAGTCCTGAGAAGGACAGTAGGTATTGATAAAGACTGACGTTTCGACAACCTTAGCGGTAGTCATCTTCAGAGTCAAATGACTACCGCTAAGGTTGTCGAAACGTCAATCTACATCAATACCAACAGTCTTTCTCAGGACTCTACTAGCCTGGGCGATCTTCATCCTCAGACATGTTACGATACTTCCTGGTTCAAACCATTCACTTTATAAAAAATAATGTTGAGCATTTTCCACAGTACTGTATGTCTTATGCTTATCATTAAATGATTTTCGTTGTTATGTTGTAGATTTGCCCACAAATGATGTTGCTGATGCTGTGTAAAAAGTAACTTTACGTGGCGCTCAAGAAAGTGAACATGGTATCTGTACTTGTTTAGCATTGTCTAAACGTTTCATTGACTAATTTTGTAGATAATACCAATAAATGAAATTTTTTTAAAAGAATAATTAATGAGAGCAATATTCGCTTATTTTCAGATACAATCAAAACTACTTCATGAGAAAATGTGTTCAACAATGAGATACCACAGTGAAATACAAGAGATAAAACAAAGCAATACAAACTTTTAACTGAACCAATTCATCATCATCATCATATCTTTTCGCGCCAGGGCGATCCAAACTCGGGCTGGAAGTTTGGAAGTGTTGCGCGTGTTGTAGCAATCAGTCGAAATCAGAGACGGCACGTGAAGCCTTGCTACTTGTCCCCACTGAACCAATTATACCATACACAGTCTTTTTTAAAAAGAAGTTAAAACATACATAAGGATCCAGCCCTTGCAACATTTGCAAAGTCAACAACATTTGATAAGCATAGATTGCCTTGATACTCAGAATAAAAAATGTAAATATAGTTATCGATCGTTTATACATGATGTATCAAACCTTAAATTAACCTACTGTAAAATTTCAATGCATGATCACTATGCTTATCCTACTGGTTCATTGTTGTAAATTTTTATTTTGTTATAAATTACATGCAAATTCTAGGAACAGAAAATGTTTTGTTTTGAAATGCTTGTTACAAAGAAAGTAATATGTGTACGTAGCTGACGATATTGTATACACCAGTGGGCTTAGTATAGTGATAGGTATTGAAACCATACTGCAATATTTTCTGAAGGTCTTCTTTTTTATACACGCTATATGAGTATAATTACCTCTATGAAAAAATATGAAATATCTTATTTGTATATTATGAGATGACATCGTTCTTTAAGTTCTTTTGCTATAAATGCATGACTTATAATTACTACAATAATTTTTTAATACGAATAAATAGTCATACATTTTTTACAAACCTAACTAGTGGCGTACAAGTAAAAAGCTCTTATGAAAGAGAAGCAAAACGAAAATTTTGCAATTTAAATCTTGTAATTCAATAAATGTAATCTATTTTCTAAATATGTATATTCAGCTCTATTAATTTTCTGTGTTGAATGCAGCTAATAAAACGTGTTTTATAACTTATTGTACAACAAATAATTCACCCTCAAAATCGCAGGAAATGCTGTTTCCAAGTTCTGGATTTCAAAATTTTAACAAGTAATATTAATAGTAAAGTAAATGGTTTGAACCCGGGAGTATCGTTACATGTTTGTAAATGTAGATCGTCCAGGTTGGTATAGTCCTGAGAAGGACTGTTTTTGTTGTTGTTCAGAGTCAAATGAGGAGTAAACGTCAGGTTAACCGTATTTTGGCGTATGCGTCTGACGTTGCTTGCAAAACGTAACACATTTCCTGTACACACAATACAATGACGTAAGAACCAGATAACACACATTTCTTGTACACACAATACAATTACGTAAGAACCAGATAACACACATTTCCTGTACACACAATACAATGACGTAAGAACCAGATAACAAATACGGCTAACCTGACGTTTACTCCTCATTTGACTTTGAAGATGACTACCGCTAAGGTTGTCGAAACGTCAGTGAACAACAACAAAAACAGTCCTTCTCAGGACTATACCAACCTGGACGATCTACATTTACAAACATAAATAGTAAACTAGTAACATAAACAGTAACTCCCTCGACATGGGTAAGCGGGAGTTACCGTTTTTCATGGCTATGCCATTGTCACTAAATAATGCTTATTATGTTGTAGATTTGCGACAAATAATGTTGCTGATGCGTCGTACAAAGTAACTTTATGTGACACTCAAAAAAGTGACCAAGGTACTGTATGTGTACTTGTTTAGCATTGTCGAAATGTTTCACGTAAAAATGTTTGTAAATAATACTAATAATCATAAGAAGTCATAGTTGAATTTTTTGTTATCCTCATGTATGATCAAAGTAAAAAAATTTCAGGATTTAAAAATACGGAAAGAAAAAATCATGTATTTACTCCTACTAATTCACCAATTTAAAAATAGTTTATGCTTCTAAAAATTTTTCTTTCACTTTTTTCGTTAATGACAAGGTGCTTTCTACGTGGTATTTTTCTTTAAACAGAATTTAAAAACCACGGTATTCGTAAATCAGAATTTTAAAAATTGTAAAATTTTAAGCGTTGACAAATGCTTTTTTGTGTTTATTGGGACCACTACAAACAGTACATTGAATATTTTTCTCTGTGTTTATGCATGTGTACTTATTTCAGTGTATACAATCCAGTAGCAGCGTCGTTAAATGATGCTTTTCGCATCAAAAGTCAGATTTGACATATAATAATTCTTCTGATTTTGCACAACTTCTTTTGCAATTGTTGGTTAAAATCGTTCTTACTTTTTTTCTTGTTATGTATTGAAGTGATCATTTTTTTGTTCGTATTAGCAAATAAATCAACCTACATATTATCATTGCAATTTTCGTTCCTACATCAATCAGTTGAGATATTTGATATTGCTCAAAGAGAGATTTAATTTTGTTTGTTGTAGAATTATTCTTTTATTTTATCATTGTGATAAAGTAAATAAGGAACCTTTTTTAAAAAAAAATGTTTCTTTGATTTATTTGAAATAGTTTAAAAAGTTTTGTTATTATTAGTTAACTCAGGTTAATTATTTGAAATAGTTTAAAATATTTTATTTGAAATAGTTTAAAAAGTTTTGTTATTATTAGTTAACTCAGGTTAATTATTTAAGAGCAAGTAAGAGCAAGTAAGAGAGGTAGCAGTGCTACATTTTTTAAATGAAAAAAGAGCAAGTAAGAACGGTAGCAGTGCTACATTTTTTAAATGAAACAAACTAGAGTATGAACCAGTGTTTCGAATTCAACTGATGAAATGTTCGAAATATGATAAGCATAGGCTGTCTTGAACCTAAATGAAATGCTCAGAACGAATAAAATGTAAATTTACTTATCCATCTAATCTATAAACCTGATATATCAAATACGATGATAATCCCACACGTTCATTGTTGTGAATCTTTTTGGTCACAAATTATATGCAATTTTCAGGAAAAGAAGCGATTTATTGCTTAAAACAAAGATAGTAATGCGTGCTCGTATCTGACAATGTTTTATGCATGCAACAGTGGGCTTACAATAGTGACAGGCATTGAGACATTTGCAATACTATATTTTTCATACATCGTTCTTTTTTTATAAACTAAGTATGGTTAAAATTAATTCTACAAGGAAAAGTAAATTTTTTATTTGTATGTTATGAAATAACATTCTTCTTTTGTTAATAATGTAATGTCGTGGTTACTATAATAATTATTTTCCAATGTAAATACATAGCTACATAAATTTTTTTACAAACCTCTCTTAACAAACCATTTTTGCCAATCTAGTGGCCTACATATAAAATGCTGTTAAAGAGCAGGTAAAACGATTATTTTGCTATTCAACTAAGCAGACCATAGTTAAATGTAATCTCCTCGTAAATATATATTTTATTAGCTTGATAAATTTTGTTTTTTCGGTTAAATTAAATGTTTTTTCCATTATTCGTAAAACAACTTCATAACTTTGTTGATTTTGGTGAGTAGCTAAAATTTCAAATTGTTGCTTTAACTGTAAACATATTTTCGTATAAATGCAGAAGCAATCATTAAGCTGGAGGACTTTTAGAAACACCGTATTAATTTCAGTGTTTACGAAAGAATGTTCAATTACGTTATTGAGAACGACATTTAAATGGTCCTCACTTGCAACAAAAACATAAGCATGAACATAAACAGAATAATATGCATATGTTTATTTCACAAGTGAGGATCATGCTCTACCCGTTAGTTTATTCATTTAGCTTAATGCAAGTTCCTTATCCTCAGAGGACTATCGTTACGCACATTGAACACACAATCAGCTACATGGTTAAAATATTCTTTATAACAAGGAAGTGTAGTCAATAAAGCCATACAAGTCGCAACGTGTTTATAAAAGGACCATGGTCACTGTAAGACTAACCACTATACCATCTAAAAAAAGTGTTAGAATACAAGCGTTCTAAATCAAAGCCCCCCAAGAAGATTATCTTGCAGTGGCAGAAACATGAGGAGTTAATGGAGGAAGCGTTATGGCTACGTTTGTTAGCTAAAGAAAAGAAAGGCTCAATAACTGTTAAAAAACGTACTTCAATTAAGGTTTGGTTATATGAACATGTTTTCTACGATTTCATAACAGTGAAATCATAAACACACGAGCTTAAATTGTGGATGAAATGTATTGTTGTAATGACAACAGATATATTTAACTACAACGTACCACCGAGGATGTTGTGAAAATGGTTATCAACACATCCGCATTCACATCATTTTCACAACTTCATGTTTACTAAATCTCTCTTTTCTTTTTGTCGTAAATGACTGAGTTAAAGATGTCATGTAAGGACAACAAACTTGTTTAAATGTTGCTCTTAAACATTCGTTCACGAGCATGACCATTCGTGTGGCTTTTCAAAAACTCCGTTTTATTTTACTGAACGTTTTCTATTTAATCACATTGTTGCCTCGCGATCTTTTGTTATTACAGGGACGTTTAGTGACGAATTTTCCTCATCAATATATTCATTTCGGACGCTTGACTAAATATTCCTCATCAATATATTCATTAGGGACTATTAGACTAAATATCCCTCATCAATAAGACAATACGCCTATATTGTTTTCAAATTTTATTTTCGGCATGTAGAAACTGCTTCAGCTTGAATCTTAACTTTTTCACGGCTGAATCATTTTCAATTCTGCCAAATGAAAACGATCAATAGTATGATGTCTTCGGCAAGTCCTTTAAAACCCATAATACTTCGAGGGCAAGTTTACCAAGTCGAAAGTCCTCTTGCTCCACTGTTGTTACATCGTTAATTCATCAGATTCAGACATGAGTAAATCTGTCGACCTATAGTTCAAGATTTCCAAACTTGCGTTATTACAAACCTTAGTGCCCCACAATTTATGTCGTTGAGTGCTAACAGAAATCGTCTTTCCCTCACGTGAGAAACTTTCCTGTCACTTACTTGGGAAAACCAGTAATGAACCATCAACTTCAACAATAATGAAAATACAATATGTATTTGCAAAGCAAGGTTCACTTCAGTCTAATGCCCTCCGTAACCATGTGATTACAAAGTAAACGCATGCTAATTTTAAAGGGATATTATTGATTAAGCGTGTGCTTAAGCCTCGAGAGGCTGCGACTTGGACTTTTACTAAACCCCCCTCGGTTTTCGGGACATTTAATCACTAATGTCCCCAAAAACATGCGTTTACTTATAATAAGGAAAGGTTCCAAATTGCAGTCATGTTGGTAAAATTCCTAGTTGGCTAGGGGCGTCTATTGGAGGGGCGGTTACAGTTTTAACTGTTGTGTTTGCAATTCATGAAATATAAATGAACATTTCAGAAACTTACTTTAGGTCGATGGAATTTAACTGTGGTGTCTTTTTTGTGGATTTAGCTTGGGATGGGTATGTTGATGATTATAAATGTGATGATTGAAAAAAGATCAGAAGATGCAGAATATGAAACTAAAATCGTAGCTAAATAAAATATTGATGAATTAAAGTACAGTAATTCTTGTGATAAGTACTGCTTCTTTTGAAAAGATGAGTTAAGAATGACGAAAATATTGACATGATGAAAATATTGACATGCATTGTTTGTGTGGGGCAGTTTGAAATTTAACGTAACTATTTATCGTAAATTGAAATCGCATTCTCTCCAATAGCATAAGTAAATTTTTTATTGAGATGAGATATTCGAATATTTTCTTTAGAGATTGCATCGCTTAAATTTAGTGCGATTTTAAATTGTACCAATTTTAGCCTGTGAACTGAACGAGGGCATTCCTCTGCTGAACAATTTTCTTGCCAGTTTTTTAAACATCTTATACCAAACTGTTAACAATAGTTTTTATTGTTTTAATCAAAAAAGCTGCAGGTTGGTGCATAAACGTTCGTCGCCAAAAAATAAATAAATTACGTAATCATTGTCTTATATAAAAGCTTATATTTCAAGTTATGTGCGAAATTATGTTCAAAATTAAAGTTGTTTATCGAGCACTTAGTCATTAGTTATGGCTTTATCGTTACACTGAAACATCATTCTCGTAAAAATTTAGTTTTAATAAAGTAAAAGTGCAACTGCTAGCATTGCAAGCGGTAAAGCTTCTCATACCCCGAACTAATAAATATCTGTACAAAGGAACTAACAAACTATCATAACCTTGATAGTTAAGGATTCATACAGGATTTTGCTGTCAAAGGTTAAAAGAGCCCATTAATGTTGATATAGCCGTTACCACAAATAATAATATACATGAAAAAATTTCTCAATTCTGATTGGTTTAGAGGAGTGCAATTTATCGTAAATATTACCGTGAAAATTTGTGTCTTCCGTGCAAAATAGTTTAAAGGCTTCTCAATTTCTGCAATTATATATTTGTATAATAAAACAATGATTGAATTCGTCTTTTGCATGAAATCAATAATTATTCAAACCTCGACACTTCAATTGATATTATCCGCCTCAGTTTTGCTTTAGCTGATGATATTGAACTCGGTAAAAATTGTTGATATCATGCCCAGCCTCGTCCAATAATTGACAGTTGTTAAATATCTACTAAGTAAAGATTGTCTGACGCTGTCATCATGCCTATATTACAAAGGACTGAGTTTATTTACTATTTTTTTGGCTCGAGTACCGAATGATATTTCGTTTTGTATTGCTTTTTGAATTTCGCTCAAACTGTCAGTATTTAAATACTGTTAGTTAAACTAATAAAGCGTTTAATTCTCCTGTACAGCAATCGATTTATAAAATAATAATTATGATGATTGATGAAACAAGTACTGGAGAAAAGACTAAACGGTTTTTAAGTGTGCCACTGCAAGATAATATAAGAAATGTGTTATGTATTGCAAAATCAAAGTTCTCAATTTCTCAAAAAAATACAAGGTGTTTAAAAACAGGCAACAGTTAATATTTATATTAACTGCTTTGGTTTACAATGTAAAAGATTTTGGTCTGTGGCATTTCAGAAGGCTTGTAATCGTTTTCGAAGTCACTGATTTTAAATTCCCAAAGGCCAAAATATTTTGTGCTTAAGACAATATGCATATACTGATGATAGAATATCAAAGTTGCCTTTTTTATGTTCTCTGTATATCTCTTTCCTCACGATAAAGTTAAAATGTGCTATGAGCATGCAACAGTTGAAATCATAAGGTGTATCTTCATTATCATAACAAACTTCTCAAGATGATTTAACTTCCGTTAAAGCAGAATACGAATAATTTATCACATATCGACTCGAAAGATACTTTTGGTGTTTATAGCTTGTCAGGTCGAATTTCAGAAAACGTAGAAGTTTAATCATCATTAGTTAAAGGTACGTTGAATAAACAACGAACAAAAATTGCGCATGCTTGCAATGTATCATAAATGTGAATACGTGTCAGGTAATTCATCGGTGATATATGAAGCGTTCAGCATTTAACATAAACATTGTTAAATATATATTAAGTATTATATTTTAAATAACCTACACAAGCTATTCTACACAGAGCAAATAGTAATCCTTCATTATGTACATTTTTGTATTTGTAAATGAACATTTAATGTAAAGTTTATGCAGGGAATGAAATGAACTTGGCGTTGATTCTTTGCGAAACTTAGCTCATTTCAATTAACCATTTAACAATAATAGAATTTGAATCAATTTAATATACATTTGTGATCCCTTAAACTCGTCAGATGTAAGCTTTATGCATAACTCTTTCAAGAAATAGAAAATTTCACATAATTTTTCATGTTTTAGTGGCGTCGCGAAAATTTTGCGAGTGGGGTGGGGGACAAGCGTAAAGTTAATTTATGCCGGTCAGGAAGTGGCATGCACATTTATTATTGCTTTACGTTGGTGGAAAACGAAAATGTTCTGCAAATTTTCTATGTAGGAATTTTCATTTTTCTATGGAGGACATATTTTTCATTTTTTTAATTTCTCTATCATACCAGTGCTTATTTGTGCATCTTACTCGTCATAACATGATGTATATTAATTATTGATACTTAACAAATAGATAACATTTACTCGTTGTTTATACAGTTATAGATACACGGGTACGACGTCAATTGTGATAAAACAAAGTGGCCACGAGCCGCCGGGTGAGTGGTCACTTTAAGTTTTATGAAAAAGTTCCCAAATTAAAGTTGTCAAATATTTTGTTTTTTGTCGCCCAACAATTGAAACATTGAATGAAAAGTCTTGATTTTGCAAACATCACGCTTAAGTTAGGATTAAAGAAATACTATTGGCTAGCTTAATCACATGACAAAATGTGATTGGCTAACAAAATAAACAAGCAATGGCTGATCAATGTTATTGAAATTTTGTTATCGAAGACGAAGTACAAATCAATGCTTGAAAGCAGGGTTTTTCTTTTATTTTGCTCAAATACGTTCACTGCTTCAACTAGGAATTCGTTATTTCTTTATATGCCCATTCATTTAAAAATTCAGGTAAATATTCAAACATATTCGCCGCTTGTTTGTCATTTAAAAACAACAAATTTTCTGTGACGTCAATTCCTCTCATAACTCTCGAACAGTGAAGTTGCTCAAATTCTTCTGATTATTATATAATAATCAAATATTGCATGTTGTAATACTCGCAGAATTGCAGTGTATTGTTTCATGAAACTTTATTTCAATCAGCGACTTGGTGCTATGTAGTTAATAGCAAGAACAACTATATTACTTGTTCTTTCTCTTCCACTTGAATTTCACAAATAGCTAGTTTTTTTTATTTTCAAAAAAGAAAAATCTTTCATACCCCGCTGACAACACAGAAAGCGTAAATGTAATGTAAATTATTGTTTGCACAGTTCGACGCTTTACCGTCAATGAGATCAGCCATATGAGTTGTTCACATTCTGTAAGAGTTACGTGCTCCTTTCTCAATTTCCAGTCCCGCAACTTATTGTCGATTTCAGTTAACTTTTCAAATGGCGGTTGCCAAGTTACTTTCTAATGTTGCCAGTTACATTTCCAAATATGGAATATTCGATATGAGATTATCAACTTGAGTTGACAAGTTGTGTACTTGAGTACTGAAGTTGTGTACTTGAGTACTGAAGTTGTGAACTAAAGTTGCGAAGTACTAGCAAAAGCGAAAGGTCTTTGTACCCTGTAGACATTTGGCAATGAATCTGTTCAGTAAGCAAGGAAAAGCTTTTGCAATTCTAATCCGTTTGACGGCCCTCTAAGAGTGTTATAATGCGATACGCCGTTTACATTATGTAATAAATTTACAGTAGATGTGGCACTAAAAGAGGATCGTTGGATTTTAAATGCAGGAGTACCCTGCATACTGTGCCCTCGACGTCTGTTGCCACTCGTAACAACTACAGGCGACTCATCAAAGAAATGCATACGGTTGCAATCAATCAATGAAATATTTGCTACGTAAGCTTCAAACTTATCCATAACGTCCGGCCGTTCTGTCTCTCGAGGAATTTGACTTAATAAGAGTAACCAAGATCTTTATTCAAAATTCTACTAATGGATGACCTGCTAGGTATGTTCGGTTGAAGGCAAACTTTGTTATTTTCTAGGTGTTGCTGAATCTCTTTGCGTAAATAGATGGTTTATTAGTTTTGAAATATTCAGTGTATGCAATAACGTCATCTGTACGCGTGGTTCGAACATCACGTTCGCTCTGGCGAGGCGCAATAGAACCAGTGTCTACCCATAGATCTATTATATTTGATATAGTCTTATACGGTAGATTTAGTTGTTTCGAAATGTTTGTCAAACTCTCGTTATTAAACCTCCTTTCAAGTATTTCATTTCTTACTTCTATTGGTAAAGCTTTTCGTTGCTTACTGAACGGATTAATTGCAAAATGTCTACAGGGTACAAAGACCTTTCGCGTTTGCCAGTACTTCGCAACTTTAGCTCACATTTTCAGTACTCAAGTACACAACTTCAGTACTCAAGTATACAACTTGTCAACTCAAGTTGACAAGTTCATATCGAAAATTCCATATTTGGAAATGTAACTGGCAACATTAGAAAGTAACCTGGCAACCGCCATTTGAAACGTTAACTGAAATCGACAATAAAAAAATTCTTTACAAAACTCCAATTGTTGGGGAGAGGCCATACTTGGAGGGATAAAAGAGTTTATTGGAATAAGTCCCTCTCACATGCCCCTCCTTAGCAACGCCATTAAAAGGTTGAAGTAATTCAACAACACAAATTCTTAAGGAGGAATTTGCTAACTGGTTCCAAGGACCATTGTTTTGTCATAAGTGTTTTATACAATATTGAGAGAGATTAGTAGTAAAATTAACGATAATTAACAATTAGATTACGACAGTGCAATCTAATGGTTTCAGTAGAATCATACTAGTATTCATAAAGAAAATGGTTGCTACATTTTTTCATAATTCTTTGTTTTATGCTTTTGTTCTTGTTGACATCGTTATTAAAAGCGCACGACTCTTGCTCACTGCATGTTAAGGTACTGTAAAGGAATTTTGTTTATTGTACTTTTAAATTAGTGGCAGCTTTAGTCTTCCCTAAAATTAACTTTTAAATTGAATATTTGTGGTCATCGTGAGAAAACTGGAAAAAAAAGACGGAAGCCATGTTTTTTTGCTACTCGCTATCTGTTAAAACATATATCATGATGTCACTCGGGTTACTCAAAAAAAGTGTTCAGTGGTTATATTTGTGTATTATACAAAAAACAACGAAGTTCACGGCAATATAATCTAAAATGTAGCAACATGTTATTTAAGTAAATCATCTTTTATCATACGTCTCATTAGTGAAATGTTTTGATTGGTTGAAGAGGTTTTATCATCTCATTCACGTGATTTGTATAATATTGCAACAGTACAGGAAAATCCGAATTTTAAATTCCCACATCATCTATTATAGTTGATCGTAAATAATTTTTCCATATCATTTTAGTACCGTTAGTATAGAATAATGCCAATTTTCTATTGCAAATGCTTTAATTCTTATTCGCAGTTCGTTGCAAAAGTAACATTGCATAAAACATTTTGTAAAATTTTTAAGGGAACCTGTTCAAAGTAAGGCTAAAATAATAAACAACTGTTATAACACAGCACAGAAGTATCACTTGTCTAAAATTGATATTGCCAGCTTCAATACGTCCCTTAGAAGTTGCATTTTATTCAAAACTTATTTCGAGCCTTACAAAATTTGTAATGAAACCGCGCAGTCGTATTTGATTACAGAATCTAGGCGTGTGAGCAATATCTAAAATTTCTGGTGATGATTTTTCCTTCCATTATTAGCTTATAGAAATCTCAAGCTCGTAATCTTATTGTTTATTACTTAGGCTTAGTTTATGTGCTGGTGTGTTAAAGAAATCCTTTTTGCCTTCTTTTATAGTCCTAGAAAACATGGCAAACCCAATAAATAACATGAAAAAGCGATAGAGCTCGCATAAAATGTTTCGCTACATCCTTAATGTTGATGATGCCCAATCCTTAAAAAAGTCTTGGTTTTAACAAACATTGAAAAGAAGATACGTTCTTCTAGCTGCGTTTGTGGACGCTATAGAGTGTTGGGAAAAATAATATCTGATGGAATTGAAAAATACGAGCCGGTCAATATCAATAACTTGTTGGCGGATATATACTTACGCTGAAGTTAAATATTATCAGTACAGGTAATTGCATGTTTTCAGGTGCAATTTGAGAAAACATGCAAGAGTGAGTTTTTCAAAGACTATCGACTTGAGACTGTCAAAGACTATCAGTTTGTTATTACATTTGCATGTATAACATACATCGGCATAGTATCGAAAAGACGAAAACAACTGGCTTTCGCCCCGTCCTTTCTGCCTCACTACTGTATGAAACATTTTTAGTCACCTACGGATTTTATTCAAGCCTCCGAACAAATGTTATTCGCAAAAACTTAGAAAAAATATTGAAAAAGGGGAAACCCAATATCTTTAAGTAATGAAATGGCCGGCTCCTCGTCGGATAAATTTTTTAGTATAATTAGCTATCTTAAAAAACGTTTTAACGTGGGCATTGAAAAGCAAATGATGTTTTCTTATCAATTGAATTATGTTATTTGCTGATATTTTTCAAAGTTAGCCCTGTTCTTCATCAGAAAATCTTAAATAAAGACAAATAGAAAATGCGAATTTTATGTTCCGGTGTTTAACGAATATGCGATTTTTCGGATTATACCGTCAATTTGTAATTGGTTTTTACGCCATAGTGTTTACTGCCGATCTATCTATCTACATATCTATCTTACCTGTACAACTACATAAAGGATTTCCTTGCTTACACAAGCAAATCCTTAGAAATGTACTGAAAGCTATAATGAAAGACACACAATGGCAAAAAGAAATTTTTCAATATTTTATATTTGTCGAAAATATGTTAACTATTGAATAAAGGCCACAGAAAAAGCTCAAATGAAATGCACGATTTATTGTTAAAGATCAATTGCTGTTGCTGCTGTTGCAAGCGATCCAGTCAATTTCTAAAAAAGTACAAACAAAATTGTAGAAACGCACTTTGACACACTATTTCCCAAAATCAGAAAATATTTTTTTTGTTCCAACTATCCATACGAACTAGAAATGATTATACATAAATATAATAAAAATCGACATCATTTGCCAAGTCTTTTTAAAAATTTTCCTTTGCGCCCAAGGAAAATTATGTCCATATGCTTGTACTATAAAATTATGCTTGTTATGTTATAGATTTGAGGAAAGATGATTTTGCTTATATGATGGGTAACAACCCTTCACGTGGCATTCAAAAAAGCAAACAAGGTATGTGTACTCTGTTTTGTCCGTTAAATATTGTCAAAAGGAGGCATTTCCCATACACTTAAAATAATATCAAAAACGTTGTCCTTGATCTTTCAGAGGAATTAAAAAAAATTAATGCATCCAAGTTTTATATGATTTTTCTTGCGCCTGGCGACAAGGAAGCATTTTTATTAAACAATATAATAAAAAAAACAATTATCAGCTAGCTTGTGAAATTTTGTATGATTTTATTTTTCTAGTTTTTTCATTTTATTAAAAAACATATCTATTCGGTGGCCTATTCAATTTCTACAAGAAAAAGGATAAAGTGTCACATGTTGTTTAAAATTATGATCTTTTTTACAGGATTTTGCTCTTTCATCTTTTGTCATTTGGCAGCTAGCTGTTGTGGAAATGAAATTTTTTTTTGTTTTGTGTTTTATCTGAGCAGGCTGAAAACACTTAATGAAGTTAAAGACGAAAAATCTATAGGATTTATCTCAAATTAATTATGATTTGATAATGGCCAGTTTTAAGTAAAGGTCAAAGTGAGATAAATGCCAAAAGAAGTTTTTTCTTTAAATGACAAGCTAAAGAATACTGATCGTGACTAAAACACCACACGAGTACATACGAGTACATACGAGTACATACGAGTAACATACGAGTACATACGAGTGTCATACGAGTAACATACGAGTACATACGAGTGACATACGACTATTTTCTGGTCAACAAATGAGAAACAACACAATTTCTTCAATACATTGATATTTGCGTTTATTTTTCCTTGTATTTGTGTGGACTTTGGGGCAACCATTTGATGGATTTAAATGCTGAAAAGGTATTTTACTTTCATACTACATTCATTTGTATGTTTTAGTTGAATTTGTTATAGATATTTTGTCGATGCGATTTGCCAGTAATTTGAGCGCTTTTTGACACACTTTCACCTAGGAAATACATATTTATGAAAGCGATTAAATAAACAACGTATAAATAATGCTTTCAAAACGTTCTATATGAAATAAATGCACATTATATATATTTGAATTAAATGAGAGTTGCACTGTGTTACGTATATATATCATATTATGCGTACAATTTCAGCTTACTTTTAATGTTTTAAAGTTCTAGCTGATATAATTCAGTCTTTTAACTGCAAAATCAGTATTCTAAAGACCAAAATGAATGTATAATCGCTTTCATAAATATGTATTTCCTAGGTGAAAGTGTGTCAAAAAGCGCTCAAATACTGGCAAATCGCATCGACAAAATATCTATAACAAATTCAACTAAAACATACAAATGAATGTAGTATGAAAGTAAAATACCTTTCATCATTTAAATCCATCAAATGGTTGCCCCAAAGTCCACACAAATTCAAGGAAAAATATCAATGTATTGAAGAAATTGTGTTGTTTCTCATTTGTTGACCAGAAAATAGTCGTATGTCACTCGTATGTACTTGTATGTTACTCGTATGTACTTATATGTTACTCGTATGTACTCTATGTTACTCGTATGTACTCGTATGTTACTCGTATGTACTCGTATGTACTCGTATGTACTCGTGTGGTGTTTTAGTCACGATCAAAGAATACTTTAATAACATTAGCAAAAATAAATAAACCATTAATGTACTGTTAAACGTGAAAGCTTAATAAAACCAAATAATGCCGTTGTTGCAAATAATCATTCAAATTCAACAAGTTAAATTTTTTCTAAAAAGGCGATTCACAGTTTGTCTTTACCAAAAATGATTGGTTATTTTGTGATATTATAGTTAGAATTATAGTCGTGGAAAGATCAATAATTTAAGGGATCGTATTCATAAAATTATAAATGTTATTATTTTTATATTATGTATTGTTTCTAAGCAGTATTTAAAAAACCACAGACTTAATTAACTAAAGTAATAGAGGTATGATGTGAGGCGTTAAAAGGGTAAAAATCTATTGCTAAAGTAGAGCCATTCTGTTATCTTCCGTTATGAAATATATACTTTAAATAATAACAATAAGCTCCAGAAACTTTAATTTTTCTACGCTCAAAATATTTCAATAAACATTAGGTTGTATAGCAGTAACTAGTTGCACGAAGCCTGATAGTGTTATTCATTGGATAGCAATTTTTTAAACTTAAACATAGGTTGTGCAAAAAAGCACTACATTTTTAATAAAGAACGATTTTTTGTATCAGCTTCCCTCAATCTTAACAAAGACATGTTTGCGTATTGAACAGATGTACATTTGCACTTGAGTACTTTTTTACATCGTTATCAGTAATTGCTAAGATTTTATCAATGTATAAAGTGGTTATCCAAATCCCATGTGTTAAGGGTGAATTCGATATACTTATTCCTTGAATATATTTGTTTCACTCCCCTTTGTAAATGGTACTTTTTTATGTCTTTTCAAGAAATTCAGTTTCAAAAATGGGAATATCTTGGTCATTCTGTCAAGCATGGAGAACTGTTGTCAAAATTGTGTTGTCCTAAACCAGAAATTGAACATAAGGGCAATTTACGTGTAATTTTCTCGGACGAATTTAGCCTTGGCCAAGGAAGCAACGAAACCCGTGTCTTTCTTGGACTGACAAAGGATGGTTACGGCAAAGCAGTAAAAAGAATGCGTAGAAATAACTACCTACAGCCTGCACAGCACGAAAAAAAAATTTTAAATGAATTCAATGCAAGGGAGTCGAAATATGTCGTGAATTATTACTTCTTAGAGGAAGATACTGGAACGGACTATGTTTATTTAATATTAGACTTATGCGAAGAATCATTGAAGAAGTTTGTGGAGGATTCTACCATAGAAGACCTTCAAAAAGCTCTTCCTGATATTCTTAGACAAATTTTAAATGGGCTAGCTGATCTTCATTCTGGCAAAAATCCTATTCTTCATCGCGATTTGAAGCCTTCCAATGTTCTCCGAGACTCACATGGCAAATTTTTGATCGCGGACTTTGGAATTAGTCGAATATTAAATGATGAGTTTAGCACATATGAAAGCAACGCTAACACGGGAACTGAGTATTGGATTGCTCCTGAGTCATATCGGGAAGATAAAGACAAAGTAGATAAAGGACGTTACAAAAAAAAATCTGATGTATATGTAGGTGTAGGAAATACTAACATTTGTAGAACATACATTTAAATTAAATTTTCTGACATTTTATCTTTGCTTTCACGTTTTTTATTATTTTAGAATGCCGGAATGGTGGCTTATTATGTCGAAACAAAAGGGCAACATCCTTTTGGAGTGAAACGTCATAGATTGGACAACATGTTGAAAGGAAACCCTGTTGGCTTGGATGAAATCAAGAATAAAACGCTGAAAGACCTTTTGATGTGGATGTTAAATCGCTCGCCAGAAGACAGGCCATCTGCCAACGAGGCGCTAAAACACCCATTTTTTATGTCAGATGATGAGAAATTTGAAATGTTATGTAAAGTTGGGAACCAACTGGCAATTAAGACAAATGATACCCAGTCAAGTGTGGTCCTTCAAATAAATAATGAATCATCTGACTGGAGAAGTCGAATTGATAGTGATGTATATGCTTATTTTACCACAGATGAGGTGAATGGAAAAATTCGTGGGTATGAATCTTCTTGGACAGAATGCTTGAGACTTATTCGAAATCTTGGGCAGCATTGGAATGATCGACCTCGGCCTAGACCACAACCATTTTATAAGATTGGCGATCACAAGTTGTACTTTCTCAAAACATTCCCCGATCTCCTGTTCGGGTGCACGCAGCTTTCAGGTCAAATAAAAAATTAAAAAACAATTCAGAACTTAAAGGTAAGCATTGAAATTTTCACCATAGATAGTTTCATTATGTACTCGTTAAATAATACGTTTAATTAAGCAATATTGTTACATGACATTAACACCATGTGTTGGTTGATCATTTTTTAAGTTATAATTATCGATATTTCTATGAGAATCTTTGATATTATCAGTCATTGTACGTTTTCTCATTATTATTTCACTTTTATTCTTTATTATTATATAGTTCGTAATCTATAAATTAATACAAGCATTGTATATATACAGAAGACTATTTAATTTTTATTACAAATTCTTCACTATTATAGATAAGGATAAAATGACAAAGAAAAACTAGTATGAACGGGAATGGAATGCCTGCTAATTCAGAGGAAGAATCTTCTGTTTTTGATAATTCACATATCGTCAAAGATGTGAATGAGGCAGGGCAAGGTGAAAAAAAATTCTCTTTCTTAATTTTAAGTGTTCTAAATTCCGTTTAGTTTTAATCAAATCGTTTCACTTTTATGGAAATTTCTTCGTGGGAACTCTTACAATTGCCAAAATTTTTCTTAAAATGAAAAGTGTTGGATTGTCAATTTATCTGACAGTAAATATTGGCAAATAATGAATACTTGCAGAATAAAAATCCAATTGTTGTACACTACTTTTGAAGAAGTTTGCTTATGAAAATGACACAGCCAGAAAGGAATTGGAAAAAATAGGTTTAAAACATAGCAAATGTTTTTTCAAGCTAAAAAGCTTTAGGAATTTTGGTTGACGCCTAAGCGAACGCTTAGCTTTCAAATCGCAAGCTATTTTAATTCTTTGTTTTAAATGCTCTAATTCATAAATTATGCATAAATGCAAGCTTAACTAATGCAAACATAAATAATTGATAATTGGTTCCAAAAAAATGGTATATAAAAAGAAAAAATTCGGCTCGGATTGGATTTCATTATTTAAGAATATAACAAAAGCTGAAAAGTTTTATAAAAAATTTCTACAAATTTGTCAAAATTCGTTAGGTCCAGATCGTGGTGATATTACTAGTCCCTTGAGTAATTTTGGTAAACTGTTTTACGGAAACTATGAAAAGTATGAAAAAGTAAAAGAATTTCATAATGAAAGTCTCATAATAAAATATGAGAAAGCAAAAAAACTCAATGAAATACCTCTGACCGTTCATAAAAGATTATTATGCCAGATCGCATTGATATTGCTAAGTTTTCAAACAATCTTGGTTTAGTGTGTGAAGAAAGTGGAGAATATCACAAAGCAAAAGAGTTTCATGAAAAATCTCGGGAAAAGCGTAAAAATTTATTGGGTTCAGATCCTGTTAAAAACGCTTTTAGTTTAAACAATCTTGGTGATCTCTATTTTGAAACAGAAGAATACGACAAATCCAAAGAGTGCTATGAAAAGCTCTAGAGATTTATAACAAATTATCAGTTCCAGATCATAGTGCAGTCGCTGCTATTTTAAAAAAACTTGGTAATGTTTACATACAAACTGGAGAATATGACAAAGCGAAAAAAATTTATGAAAAAGATTTGGAAATTTGTAAAATGTCATTAGGTCCAGATCATGTTCAAGTCGCTGTTATTTTAAACAACCTTGGTAATGTCTATATGCAAACTAGAGAATATGAAAAAGCAAAAGAGTTATATGAAAAAACTCTGGGAATCAGAAAAAAGTTGCTATCCCCAGATCATTTTGATGTTTGTGATTCTTTATGTAATCTTGGTTTGTTACATAAGAAAACTGACGAATACGACAAAGCCAAGGAGTTTTATGAAAAAGCTTTGAAAATTTATGAAAAGTATTTAGGTCCAGATCATGTTCAAGTTGCCACTGTTTTGGAAAACCTACGTGATATCGATTCGAAAACTAAAGAATATGACAGAGGCAAAAAGTTGAATGTAACAGCTGAAGTAATGCGTAGAAAGTCACTAAATGTAGATCACGGTGAGTTTCCAATCCTTTAAACAATTTTGGGAGTGTATAAAGATACTGAAGACTATGAAATGGCAAAAATTTTTATAAAGAGTTTAACAAAATATTATTAGGTTTATATCATGACGTCGGCTTGTCTTCAAATTTTTTGTGCAATTTGGGATAAAAAGAAAATTCTCGCTGCTTTCTTTTTATCAAAATATGATCTTTCTGGTAGTTTTAATTCTGTTGTTGGAAAGCTTTCTTATTTTTGGCTTATATGCATATTCAAAAGACTTGATAAAGTCAAAATGAATTTCAAACTTTTTTGTCAAGTTAACTTTGATTTCAAAATGAGCTTTGTAAAGCCAATGTCAAAATAACAGACAATAATGGTGTTACAAAGGTTTATTCACAATTATTGTCATACCTATAAAAATGGGTGATGAAAAACACCAATTCCCAAACTAAAAAATAAATACAAATGTCTTTTTCGCGAAATACATTTTTTTCTAACTATCAATTTGAATTAAAAATATTATATATAAAATAAACAATATGTGCCTTGTTGACAAATTTTTGACGAATTTTCTTGCTTCCTTCAGCCAATTATGTCTTGCGTTCATAATGAATTTTTGTTTATTTTGTTACAGATTTGGCGACTGATGAGTTTCCTAATGCTATGGAAAACGAACATTTACGTGGTATTCAATATAGCAGGCCAGGTATGTATCGTTAGTAGCTGACTTTTGTCAAAGTATTTTACTGACTCTAGGCAGTGATCATCAAATCATCAAAGCTGAACTTTTGATTTTCTCGATATTTTTAAAATGAAGATACTTCTCAATTTAAAAAATATCGAACGAATGTTGTTCTTGATCTTGTGAGCAAATTTTAACAGTAATTTATTTTTTTAAGAAACTTTATAAAATAAACACAATGAAATGCGTTCGCTGATTGGTCTATAGCTGTCTTTGCTTTAGCATGTGCAAAACACATCCGAGCTCAACCAATCAAATCAATCATAACAATCAATCAGTCAAAGAGAATTTGAAAATCGATCATGAATACATTTTAGAGGAAAAATTAAAATGTTTGTCTGTTTTGCATTATTGTTATTTTGTAAAAGAAATAAAAGATGTTTACTGTGTTTGCACTGGCTTATGCAAACCTCGGAGACGTTTGTGAGAACTCTCAAGCAGGTGCAACCTTCGACCTTCGATCTCGGGTTTGCACAATGATCTGCTCTCGAGTTCTCTCAAAGGTCTCCCCGGTTTGCATAAGCCCGTGCAAACACAGTAAACATCTTTTATTTCTTAAATGAGGTTTTTTTGCCTTGCCGTAATGGTGCCTTGGAACAGCCGTCACTTACCAACGAAAAGAACCATTCAATATAAAGACTAACCACTATGAACTGCACATGAAGTCAAAACCCACTCGATTGAGACCAAGTCATCCGGACCTCGGAAATTATCCCCATACAGCTGAACCCTGCGTACTCCATATATGCAAACTTTGATATCCCACTAAAATAAATACAAGCTGCTTTAGCACAGAACCCTTACTCACATTTATATTACGCTTTTGTAAAGACGAAAAGATGCTGCATGTTTGTGTCACTCCACGTGTTCTCCTTGTGGGTGATGACTTCTCAGTAGAGACAAAGCATACGTAGTATATATGAGGAGGTAACTGTATTAGGCAAACTCGGAAATTTCTATGTTAAAATCTTTTTGAACTTTACTTATACTAAAGAGAAAGAAGCATTTTCATGCGATATGATTTATATAAACGTAACTGTAAGAACAACGTCTGGCTTTCATAAGTCACACCATTATATAAACAGAATGTTGCTAACAGTATCAAATGCTTTTGGGGTTAGTTAGGACCAGTACGTTGTGCAATCCAATATTGAGGATGTTATTAAATGTTTCTTACGAATTAAAATTCAGAGTTAGCAGTAGTGTAGCAAGCTCTCAAGTTTTTCTCAAAATATTCTCATTCATTTCTTTTAAAACCTTTAGTTTCCATTTAGCTTAATAAATATATTTAACACTATAAATAGTAAGTTCATTTATGCTGAAGATGTGAATCCTAACTTGTTTACATTTAAAAATTCTATCATTAACTTTAAATGTTTTAAGATTGTCTTGTTTATCCATTATTTATCCACATTAATTTGTTACTACCTCAAAATACTTCTAAATTCATTCAGAGTGCTCGTTCTATGATCAGTAAAATAATCTCTTAAATTTTGCAGAAAGCAGATATCTGTTAAAACTTGCAGGAAAAGTTTCTGGAGAATGGAAACTTTGGCAAGGTCTCTACATATTAAAGACGAAAAATAAACCAAATTGACATAAACCAGAATGACGAATATCCAGTCAGGAAAGGATATCTTATGCTAGAATTTTGGTGGTTTTCACGTGACAAAAAGAAATTATGGTATGAAGAACTAGCGGGAGCATTTCACCGCATTGGGAAAGGTAGTTTAGCACAAGAGATTCTCTTGGAACGACCGAATTTCAATATAAATTAAATTACTAAATTGCTATTTTAATGTAATTATGATCATTCCACACATTGTAAAGGCTTGCAGTTCAATCTCCTATTAGTTCCATATAATCTATCTTAAGATTTTGTTTTCTAGTGTGCCTTGGCAAAGAGCAGTTCTTTGTTCAAGAGCCATAGTATTAGATCATCTAGACAATGCGCAATAGATACCCAATTACTCAGAGAAAATATTGAAAAACTTAAAGCCTTTTTAACATGCTTTTTTAAAAATATATGTTATAACTTGTAAATACTAATGACTTTACAGGGGGTGCTGTCAAATGCCGAATTCGGTTGCAACGAGTTCAAAATGACAGCAAAATCAATTGGTGTCATTTTGGAGATTTTAGCTCCAAAGAAACCTGGTCTGTTGTCCTTGAATAGCCTGGACATGCAGAACACCTCCGAAATTACAAGCGAAAATAATTTTAAAAAATGCAATACATTTCGCTTTCTTCATATTCAAAATAAAAACAAAGTTTTGTTAAAAGACTAGATTATTCTTCGTCTTAATTCCAAAACTTAAATATTTTTTTAAATGGTATACTTGGGCAATATACAGTGTGTATCAACAAAATTGGAATCCAACTTTTTTTGATAACAGCATACTTGAGTGAAGCTTATAATTTTTACATGGTGATAAAGAATGACGTATTAGGCTTGTGTTTATAACCCTTTACTGACGATTCTATCAAAATTAACCACGTAATCTTCCGTTCAAATTTGTAGCTTGAAATTTTTCCGCTGATGGGAATTTGAAGTTAGACGTCAAGACAAAATATAATGCAAATTTAGCGTTTAAAAAGTCGTTTTTGAATAAAATTTGCATAATTTTTGTTGCAATTTAGGCTTTTTCTATTCTGCGCAAATTTACGCTCGTTGTAACAGTCCACGAGATGATAACGGAGGTCAAAGTTTGTCGTTCTAGAAATCTTTTTTTTAACTGATTGCGTATTTCTTGTAGACTACCAGTTTCAAAAAACGTTTTCGAAAGAAATGTGCCTTTTGCCATGTTTAATTTGGAACCATCGCGTTTGTAAAGGATATGATACAATAAGAAGTTGAAATTCCATTTAGTTTGCATTGATGATTGGCATTTAATAGCCTTGTAGGACTAAATTTGAAAGAAAAAAATGCAATTCCCATCGGCAGAAAATAGTGATTTTTATTAACTTTATTTGTCGGTGAAGCACTTCTTCATTTTGAAACTGAAAGATTCGCACAACATGTGATTTGAAAGGTAAATAAATGGACTTAACAAAGGTACAAAGAACACTTTTTGCGGGTGCTAGTATGTTTGCTGTTTTGCAAAGGTTTTGGAAGAAGACTTCTACCTTGGCTTAGTAATTCTAAACAAATTAAATGAATACTAAGTCAGTATTTATTGTTTATTTTCTTGGAGCAGCAATCATCTTAATTTGATCATTGGTTGTGCTTTTGCATGCTGAGGCTGCGCAACATCGCGGCAGTTCTACTTCTATTAATAGCTGTAATGCTAAATGAAAAATTTTCAAACTTAAACGCCACTGATATAACGAGGATGTCATACTTTGGTGTTTGATTTCTTTATGGATAGAATTGATTTGAGAGGCTTTTTCCTGAGATATACATCAGAGCCCTGTACTTGTAACAGTTGGCACACGTATTATTCTCTGCATTTCAGACTATACTCAATTTGATTGAGTGAATATGGTCACATGTGCATCTAGCCGCCATTTTTGTTCCAAAAGCGCAAATTATGACCATTTTTGACATAGGAGATAAATTATAAAAAATGTTTACAATGATCTTATGTTGCGTTAGAATAGTTCTAATCAAAGCGATGAATAATAGAAACATACGCGCTCCCTTGTGGCAAAAACAGTATTAAAGGCGTATAAATTACATCTACCGCCTTAAATGCTTTTCTATTATTATGACATCTATAAACAGCTGAATTCCAAAGGTATGAATTGCTGTCTATTCATGAATAAGAAAACACAACAGAAAAATTTTCTTTCTACCATTTAATGCTCTATATTTGCTGGCTTTTGGAACAAAAAGGCGGAATTCAGATTTTTCCTGTTATTGTGGTTATCATACACATGCATGTATGAGTAAGGCATTTCACAAAGATCACTAATCAGTTGACTAATGATATATTTACGCATAAAGTATGACAATTATAAGTATAACTTACATGATTAAGGATTATCACGTAACACAATCCCTTCTATAAATAAGTGCTCAAAACCAAATTGAAAGAATTGTCATCTACTTACAATTCATGAAAACCAACAAGGAAGTCTCTTCTAATTATAAATTCTAGTAAAAATTAATTGTTTCTAAGTCATAAGCTTCAATAATATTTGGTGTCTTTATAACTGTGCCAAAACATGTTAGAATGAATTACTCAGTATTACATTGAGACTGGAATGGACTGTTTGGATTGTGGAGGAGAATGATGGCACTTGGGTCTTCAGGGAATTGACTGGTTGAGTTGTAATGATTGTTTCTCAACAAGGCCATGCTATATCTATTACCTCGTCAGTAGCATTACCAAGATCAAGACTTTCCTGTGTGTGGTGCAGGTCTCTTTTCTTTCTATGAGTTATTTCAAATTCTCTGTTTTAATATCGTAAAATCTTTGCTGCTCAGTTCTTTCCAGAACCTTTTCTTTCACTTTTCATGACTAACATTTCTTAACAACATGCACTAATTATCCCTCATCGTGCAGTTGAAGATTCTTTAAATGTTTGTCGTGATCTTCCGTGCTAGTTACCTCTAAAGGTTGATTTCCATACAGCATGCAAATTGTCACGTGATCGACTTTTTCCGATCATTTTCTCTTCAATTGTAAGCTCTCGACCGGAACAGCTTCACTGTCCTGCACATAATTCAAAGAAAGTGATCGCAAAAGTCGATCGCACGACAATTTGCACTGAATGGAAGTCAGTCTTTATGCTCTATGCGGTTGGATTAATATGATTGGATGGTGTGGAATGCGTTGTCATGGGTTTTGGTGTATTGTGAATATGATTGGTGTTAATATTATTAGAGTGTAATGTTGTAGTTTTTGTGTTGTTTGTAGTTTTTTGTCCTTTTCCTTTAGTTGTGAGTATAAAATTGGTATGTAAATATGTCTGTTTATTGTGTCGTTGTCTTTACTGTTCGAAGCTTCTTTAAATTCGTGTGCGTGTTTAGTCTGTGAGTGTCCGAGTACTTTAGTTTCTGTCCAGTCGAATGTATGGTTATTTCCGTGGGTATGTTCTGCCGGTAGTGAGTTCAGATCTCGTTGTTTTACGGCGTTTTTGTGTTTTGTGAGTCTTGTTTCGATTTTCTTTGATTCTTGTATATGTACTGTTTTGAGCTGTCTTTAGATGGTATCATGTAGATTGCGTCGGTTGTATCATGGATTGTCGTTTATGTATGGTAATGTGATGACTTTTACGGTTTCGCCGGTTTCTTGTTACTTCTGTCGGTTTGTGTTTTGTTTTGTATTCTGTTTAAAGTTTTGTTTATAAAGTTTCTAAGATATTTGTTTTTTATAAAGTGGAGTATAAGTAGCTGCGTTATGTTTTATTGGCCTCTTCGGTGTTACATTGAGTGTTGATCCTGTTAGAAAGTATTCGTATGCAGCTTACTTTGTATTGTGTTGGGTGATTGCTGTTGAAATCGAGTATTTGGTCTGTGTGGGTAGTTTTGCGGTATATACTTGTGTGTTTAGTGTACCGTCATCTGTTCTGGTCAATACGATATCGAGGAAAGTAAGTTGTTTGTCATGCTCTTCATCTTTAGTGAAGGTTATGTTCTTTGTGCCATTGTTTGTGGTGTGTAGGATTTGGTCAGTTTTGTCTTTCTTGACTATGGCAAAGATGTTGTCGACATATCTTTTCCATAGTCTGATGTTTACGTTGTTTGTGAATGATTGTGTTTCGAGGTGTTGCATGACGGCTTCTGCAAGGAAGGTGGATAGTGGTGACCCCATTGGTGTGCCTGAAATTTGTCTGTAGTATGAGTTTTGGAAGGAGAATTCAGTGGAGAGGCAAAGATTGAGTAAGTATAGGATGTCATTTTTGTCTAGTTGTGTTGTAGCATGCAAAGCTTTGTCGTTTGTGAGTAGTTCGTTTGTAATTTGTTTGGCTACGTCTAGTGGTATGGATGTGAAGAGTGATGTCACGTCGTAGGATATCATGGTTTCGTCTGGTCGTAGTTTAATGTTGTCAATGTTTGCGAGGAAAGTGGTGGCGTTTTTGATGGTGTGAGGTGAATTTTTGACTAAAGGATAGAGAATGTTAGAGAGATATTTTGAAAGTTCATACGTAGGCAGCGATACGATAGGTCGATACGGGTTGTTTTTCTGTGGATTTTGGTAGTCCGTAGAATTGGCGGTAGATGCGTCATAGGGTCGGATTCCTCTTTAGTCATTTTTGGTCAGTTTCTTTTTATCTTTGAGCTCTTTCAGTTTAAGGTTGATGCGGTTGGTGGTAGTTTTGCTGGGGTCTGTGTGGAGAGGTTCGTAGGTGGTGGTGTCTTTTAGAAGGGTCTTGGCTTTGTCAATGTATTCTGATTTGTCCATGATAACTGTTTTGCGTCCTTTGTCAGCTCGTAATCTGATTATTTGGTCTTCGTTCTGTAGGTTTTAAATTGCTGTTAGTTCTTCGTTTCATAGACTAACTGGTGGTATATGAAAGCACTATCTTCAAAGTACATTGATGTCTAATAAGCAGCAATCAGATAATATCCACGGGCTAATTTAAAGAACTCAGTTTCCACATTCTCCCATATAGAGCTAGTTGTATTTCACGAGGAATTAAATCTCCAGACGCAGTGATGATCTAGTACATATATGTTACTTTTCTCTATTCCATGATCAACTTGAAAGATCTCTTTTCGCTAAATTTCGAGGACTCGTTGGTGTAATGCCATTCCTTTCAAGCCAAATGTTCTCATTACTACAATTTTGTTACTTTGTTCTCGAAAATGTTCTCCAATCATTAAACAAATGCACATTGATAAATGGGTGGAAAGAACTATATTTATGTATTGATATTGTATGATCCCTATATTCACAATTAATTTTAATAGAAATTAAATCTGCAGAACATGCGTATAAATACACGTATGAATATTACACCCGTAATACACCCACTCCAATTATCAATTTCCTTTGAAAATGAATTCGAGGATATCTGAACTTAAAGTGCTCCTTCCATCAAAAATTTAAATCTGTCGATGATTTAAGCCTCTTTGAGAAAAATTTTCCCGCTAATTTTTTGGAAAACTTGAGTGATATCTATTTGAAAACTGGAGAGTATAACAAAGCCAGAAAGTTAAATAAAACAGCTCGAGGAATTTGTAAAGAATCATTATATCCAGATCATGGTAATATTGCCAGTCCCAATTAATCAATTTTGGTAAAAAGTATGAAGGAAATAGAGTTTCATAAAAAGCAAAAAAAATAATCAATACGTTCATATCATGAAGTCGGTGTGTCGTCAAACTATTATTGTGGTACGTTATACAGCATTGCATTTTATAATAAGCCAAGACATTTTGATCTTTCAAATTTTTTTTTGCAATTCGGGATCAATGAGAAAATTCTCCCTGTTTTTTAATTCTATGATCTTTTTTATCATTGAAAAGATTTTCTTGATTTGTGGCCTATGCAAATTGAAAACACTGGATAATATCATAATGGATTTCAAACATTTTTGTCAAACTTGCCAATGACCTAATAATGTACAATGCTAAGCCAATTTTAAAGTGAAATTGAACTAATGAGGTGAAAATTTGTGCTTCAGAATTAAAACGGTCAAAGCTATGGATGTTGAATAACAGTAATTTTCAAACACAAAAATAAACACAATTCTTTTTTTATCAAATCATTCAGTGTGTTCCTTCTATGATTTGTAAAACAATCTCTTAAATTTTGCAGATATCGACACATATCTGTTAGAAGTGGCAGAAAAAGTACCTGGAGCATGGAAATATTTGGCAAAGTTTCTGCATATGAAAGACGAGAAAATAAAGAAAATTAAAATAGACCAGAATGAACCTGACTGGAAAGTATATACTATACAAAACTTTGGTGGGATTCATGTGACAATAAGAAGTTGTGGTATGAACAACTGTCTGAAGCGTTTGGCCGCATTGAGAAATTCGCTTTTGCACGAAAGATTGTCACCGAAGGAGCAGATGTTACTATAAATGATTAAATTGCCCTTGTAATGCGCTTGCGGTCATTCCACACATCTAGGCGTGAAGTTTAATCTCATATATGCCTTCTATCTCACCAGTCCACTCCTAATTCTTTAGATGTCCACCATCTTTGGCCAATTTATCCTGTCAAACGTATTCTCATTATAAAGAAAATAAGCGCACCCCTCACACACACACACACACACCTTTCACCTATGGTGTCGATTTTCTTTTTTCCACAACCTTTATTGAAACTGAAATGTGTGTTACTGATAAAATGTCTAACTTTTATTTGAAATCTTTTCTTTATTAATCTAAACTTAATCATTGATGTAAGTGATACAAAGGGTGGGATATCAAAACTGCATTTGTGAATGTGAAGTCTTTTGGCTTTATTCCTCTTTATCAATTTGCTGGCATAACTTTATTCATTGAAACTTGTGGCAAATGTTTGTCAACTTTTTTGTTTTAAGAAAGATCAACCCAAACTATATTTTTGGCTTGTCGACGTTTAAGTTGTGGCAGGTTTTAGGTTTGAAGAGGCAAACTTAACTTTGTTGCTAGTCTTTTAGTGTCTAATAAATTGCAAATAGCTGTTTGTTGGATGATATTGTTAAATAACATCTAGTGATGTCTAATGGCTTCCGGAAAATAGTTGAAAATGTTGTGGACAAATTAATATTCAGCATATCACATTATCACATCATTTTCACTTTGTGAGATTGAAAATTAACAAAAATTATTGCGTAATATTTTAAAATGCACCTTGTTAATGGTTTTGGCTTTTTAAAATTCAAACTGTTTCAAATCGTACATTTGAAACTTATTGATGATAATTATATCAAATAATATCACAGAGAGACCTAACATCTTATAAAGTGTAAAACAATGCAGGTATTGTAAGTATTATCTCGCGGTTATCACTGCTCACTATAGAGTTAAAATGTACGACATACATTTTAACAATAGAAGTCATGAAGTGTATCTTTCTTATAATAACAATGAATTCTTAAGATGATTTAAATTACGCAGATTAATTTGTCACATATCGGCCTCAAGAATCGTTTTGGCGTTTATTTTGCCAGGATTCAAGGGGATTTCAAAAAACCTCAAGGTATTAATGATAAAGGTAAGTTATTTAAACGACAAAAAACACGTTATTTGTGCTTACAACGTGAGCGTGATCATAAAAGCAAATTTCTGGCCTGGTATGTACTTACTAATACGAAGAATTTATCACCTACGTTAACATTAAATTCATATTAACTGCTATACTTCAAAAAAACCTACTCCACGTAAAACAAATAGTACAATTCAGGAAAGCGGCGACGCATGGACTTTTATTCATTTGTAAATGAACTTATAAATGATACAACATTCACGCTTAGAGAGTGTAAAGATTAAGCCCGAAGTGAATAAAATCAGCAAGTTCTATTCTCAACAGGACAGATATTTTGCTTATCATTATAGAACTCTCGTCACTTGATCTGTTGAGTTCTAACTAAGTATTTGAATTGGTAAACTTAGCGTTTGTCATGCTTTAAAACTCCTAAGATATAAGCTCCATAAAGAACTCTTAAAAAAACGAAGAAGTTCACGAGTATATATTAATGATCATACATGGTTTGTGTTATTCAACAGAATGAAAAGAAATTTTGATTTGGGCCGCAGTCTTATATTCTAATTGAAAAAGTTTTATACACAGTAAAGATATAATGGAAGAGATAAACAGTGAATGTAGAGATTATAGTATATCATATACTGTATAAGATTCCTATGATATGGAACCTGATATAATGATGCAAGTATTTTTGCATTGTCTACCATCAATTTATAACTGCACTCATATATTCGTTAAAGCTTATATTTCTGAATCTTATAATAATGTCAAAATGGAAGAAAGTAAAAACACTGCGCAATGTCTAATTTACATTTTAAACTTTGCATAACAATACAACGCGTGCGCTGATTGCTCTATTGTTGAGTTGGCATGAGCCTGCGTAGAAAAATCTCAACTCAATGTATTAAATATATGAAGGAAAATTTACAAAACAACCATGAATGTGAGAGAATTTGCAAACCTATCTAAACCAGTTTGACGGCTACACTATACCCATCTGACAAAGGCCAAAATAACAAATAAAATTGAATGTCTTAGTTAGGCAGTTGAATTTATGTGTCAGTTGATGAAGGTTGTGGGTATTAAGAAATTTTTTTATAAAATAATAAAATCATACAAAAAGTACGAGCTACAGGCCAAAGTCATGACCTCACTTCCTTGTAAAATTCATTTGTAAAAATCCAAGTTATATTTTTATAAATTCTAATGTATCTCCATTTCAGAAATTTCATACAATAAGATTTTATGCCGCCGATCATTTTTTCGTATTTTTTATTACTTTTGTTTGTCCCAGTTTGTAATTATGTTGCTGAGTTAATATTTATACTTTCTTTTGTAGTGCTTACCACTGCTTGGGAAACATAACGGACAAAGATTAGACAATTTGAAAAATGTCAAAACCTCCAGATGTTGTCAATAACGTCAAGTCTTCAAATAATCATGGTATTCTTTCATTTTAACATGACCCAATTTAAATCTAATTCATGTATTTATTTCTTTTCATATTTCTGACTAAAATACAAAAACTATCAAAATATTTAGGATAATTTAGTAGTCTGCTTATTGTGAGAAGCAAAAAAATTGCTATTTAATTTAAAACACAAACAGCTTAACGATCTGGTGTAATTACATCATTCTTTCAATTACAATTAATGGATTTTCTTACATAAATGCAAACTCTACCACCATTTCATGTTCGTAGTTTTTGAATTATGATCTTAAAATTTGTACAATAACGCTTTCATCTTTAACAAGCCTCTTTCTGAGAAATGTAATTACTTTTTGTAGTAAATTGATTCGCTTCCAATGTTTTAGCTACTGCATCTCATGATCGTTTACAAAATTTTGCCCTAGCGTTAAAACTTTTCTCAGACGTTTTTCTTAGCCTTTCAATTACTCACTTTATCCTTCGTCATCAATTGTTTTTTATTATTGTAGTAAATGCATGTTTTCCTACCGACACATTTATGTTGAAAAGAAGTTATTGCTCGTGCAAAACGTGTGGCTAAAGAACAAATTACCATTCAAATTTTCTTTTTAGCTATCGAGAATTTCCGATTACTTGTCACTAGTGATGAATATCCATATTTTCAGCTATATTGATTTTCTAATTAATCCAAAATGTAGCTAGCAAAAAGTTTTAAAATTAATTGAGAATATTTGTTCTGTGATTTGTAAAACAATATCGATCAGTTATAACAGTGGCGATAGATTTTCCTTGCATGAAACGTAATCTTATAATGAATATTAATGTTCAGCTTATTGCAATAATATAAACTGCCATTGTAAAAATAAGAATATGGACGTCAATAAAATCCTTTCAATATATTCTTGTTTTTACAATAGCAATTCATGTATCTGCAATAAGCTGGGCATTGACGTTCATTACAAGAAAAAAATCTTCATTTTTTGCAGATATTGACTCATATCTGCTAGAATTAGCAGAAAAAATTACCACAGAATGGAAACGTTTGGCAATATTCCTACATATTAAAGACGAGAAAATAAACAAAATTGACATAAACGAGATTGATGTCGTCTGGAAGGGGTATACTATGCTAAAAGTTTGGTGGGATTCAGGTGGCAATGAGAATATATGGTACGAAGAACTAGCGACTGCGTTTCGCCGCATTGGGAAAGGTGCTTTAGCAAAAACGATTGTCAAAGAAGGACCAAATGTCACTATAAATAATGAAATGTAATTATGGTAATTCCACACATTTTCAAGGCTTGCAGTTAAATCTTCTATTTTATCCTCCATATTATATATCTTAAGATTATGTTTTTTTTTGTGTGGCTTGGCAAAGAGCAATTTCTTTGTCCAAGAATCATGCAATTAGATTACCTAGACAATGCACGATCAAAAAATAGTTGTTCAGGAAAACATTAAGAAACTAGAGCAAAGTAAATATGTCTGGTACAAAAATATATGTTATAAATTGATTTTAAATTCTAAAGACCTTCAATAATTTGTCTTCACAACCCTGAACATTGTCGTCTCACCATTAGCATGAACTATGTAGCATATATCTCGCTAAGGTGGTGAGACTATCCGCTATCGACCGCCGGCTGAAAAAAGTGATTCGTGCATGAATTTCGAAATTGTTTAGCACTTCTAAACGAATGAAATGAATACTAGTTACTGCATATTCTTTGACAATTATCTCGAAGCAGCAATCATCTTTGATCATTGATTGCATTTGCAAGTTTTGCACCACGAAATGATTGACAAGTAAAAGATTAACTTTTTGCATACATGCTAATTTTAATGAAAGTGCTCTTTAATACGAAAACTAATCATAATCGTGAATAAACAATGTGGAAAAAACTTTGCACGATAATTTTTGATATTGTTTCTTTTTGTATTGAGTAAAATTATCACTACTTAAATCCTTTACTATCAATTTTGACAAATGTTATGAAACTATTTTATTAATGTCCGTATGTATTGCATGCGACTTACTAACATAGTTTTTGCGTATTTGACGTGTGTATACTGTTCATCAGAGAAAAAATTCCTAACCTGTTATTGTTGACAAAAATTTATATTTTGCAATATGCATAGTTCACTTGGCAACAAGTTGATGTACTTTGGTGTACTCAGCAGCTCTAAACAATCGGGCATATGCAGGGGCGGATCTAGGATTTTTCAAACATCAGTCATAAAACGTCGGAGGCGCTCCGCACCTGGGGGGGTCTGAGGCATTAAGAAATTTTGAATTTCAGAGCCTTGAAAATGCCATTTTCAGCGTTTTAAAGCATATACATGAATATTTTGTGTAAAAAGTTCAAAAATATTCAGTCTTATCAAGTTGACTAACTGTTTAATGGACAGAGTTAAATCATCAGGAACATTTTTTAACATCAGTCAAATATACTCTTGTTATGGATAACTTTATGAATGTTTCATCTGTAATATCAATAACAGTAAATTGTGTATGTGAAAAAAGTTTGGTCTACTCTCAAGGAAAAATATATGCACTGTTTAATAAAACATTTTAGTCTGGAGAGATTCTTCTGGAAAAATTTCGTTGCAAAATGCCACAAGGGTGATAAGTGATCAGAGCATTTTTTGTCGACGCCTTTTGTAGCTGCAGGCTGAGCTTCGACTGTTTTTGCATGAATTGGCTTTTACTCCTCAAGTTTTCATCTATATAAAATAAATAGTCTGAAACTGTATCGTCCAGATAGTATAATTAATTTTCCGAGTTTTTTTCCTCCGCTTTACATTCGTAAATGTGCTTTTTGTTTCGCTTTTTCCTTTCTACAAAACTTGCTTTAGGACCGTCAAATATGGCCGTCAAATATGTTGCTGAGGCAAGCGAACTGCGCAAATTCACCGGATGCTTACTACCATGTTATAAAAGACTTAAATGGTTTTGTAATTTCATCGCAGATATTGGATTTTGGTCTTGCGCGCAAGGCAGACTACGAAATGACGGGATACGTTGCTACAAGACGGTACAGGCCGCCCAAGATCATGTTAAATTAGATGCATTACAACCAAACAGGTATGAAATTAGAATCCCTGATTATCTAGCTGTGTCGTTTCTGCTATACCATTTCTGCTATACCGGTTATGGTTATTGTAAATTACAATCGCGAATGAAACCACGGAATGTTTCTTTTTTATAAACAGCACAATTTTCGAGTCATAAGGATTAAGCCCTTTTAGATTGCAGCACTGCAGCAGATTACAAACAATCACAAAATCCATACATATTCATTTAATGTTGTCATCATTGTAATATTGTCTTGACACTTGATTGTTAAGCTGCGTTAAATGAAATATTGCGAATATTGATAAGAAGACAAAAACAAAAAACTTTACGTCTATGCCAATGCTACCGTTCTTACAGTCAAAGAAAATGCATTTAGAAACTTAAGTCAACAATTATGATTTAGTTGGCAAGTTGTTATAAAATTCTCCCTATTCTTTGATATTATTTCTTTTGAATTGAACTCTGGCAGAAATCGCATCTTTAATGGTTTGCATGTTTGCCAAAGTGTTATACTTCATGAGTTGATGAAGTTGGTCAAAATGTTTCTTGGTGTATTCAAACTTGAACGATGAAAATGGTTTACTGGGGTCGTCAAAAATTGGGAAGTTACCAAAGTCCTTATCCTCTTGTGTCATACGACGTACCCCTACAATACATGAGATACTGTGAACAAAGAGAATAAAAGGAAAATAGAATGATTTTAAATTCATATGTTTTAGCGTACATATGCCCTTACCTGGTTTGCTGAACTCTCTAAATGTCTTGTTTACGATTGGAAAATGTAAAATAACTGGACACTTTGAATTGGAAGAATCTTGAAATACATAACATTCTTGAATATCAGGTTTATCCAGCAATGGGTTTCCTTCTATAGGAGGAAACAGCAACCCGTTTTCCTTCGCCCACTTTTCTGCTTTCAAAAGTTCCTACAAAGATATGATGAGTATGACTTTGAACTCATATTCAAAGACCTCCTCTTTACACAGTGTCCTCGAAAAAAGTGACACTATATAGAATCATCTTATTGTTCTTAAATCATTTTTAAACGATAGTTATTTCGCACAAGAAAATTTAAATAAAGAAATATTGACATAGGCGTATGGGATGGGGGAGAAGGGGGGGAAGCTCCACCCAGGAAAGTTTAAACATTGAGAGTTTGGCAAATTTTTCACGTTAGTCGGGCGAAAATTCGGCAGAACCTTCTTTGTGAGCTGGGAAAATATTTACTGCCCCCCAGAAATGATAGCTCCCGTACGTTTATGAATATTGATCCAAGCACGTTGAGCAGTATGAGATGATTAGGAGGACACGCTGTACAGAAAGCCTGTTTCTCTTGGCCCACTTTTCAGTTTCACGAGTTGTTACATATATATGCATTTAGCTGTTATGAAATGTTTTAGCATTTATAGAGCTTAATTTTGGACAAATGAAAGCGATCTGAAGTTTATTAATTTACAATGCTTCGATGCATTATGTATCACTTTCAAGCAATAAAATAATAGTTAAGACGCATCAATGTATTCAATCAAAGTCCGTCATACCAAGATAATTGAGTTGTCTTTGTGTCATGTCTAATGTTTTTTGATCTTTTTATTATTGGTCTATTGCTACGACCAGTATTTCGAAGTAAGAAACTCATAAGTATGATGAGTATCGAAGAACTAAAACCGTCTCATATAACTCAACAATGTGTTGTGGGCTGTGTAGTCATCAGTATGATACAGATACATGCCAACATTTGCACCAGAGCATTGATGAACACAAAAACACGATAATTGGCAACACACGAGAAAATTACACTATGAAATTCAGATCAAGATGAAAAAAGTTTTTCAGTCTAGAATAAATCCCGTCGAGGCTTAGAATGAAATTATGAATATTTGCTCTACAATATGTTTTTTATTCAATTAGGATTGAATATATCACTGTTTTCCAGTTGTTTTTTATTAGTTTATAGATATTTTAGCTGTAGACATTCTAGCATAGCATTGTTATTATTTTCAATTCACTATTTTTTCTATAGCTCCGCTCTATTAAATTTATTACATATGTAATTGAACTACTGGACTTTGGTTGAATAAGTAAATGCATCCTAAGTTTATAAATTAATGCGTCTTAACTATTGTTTTCTTGCTTGTAAATGTTGTAAATGTTGTAAATTTTCGATGGCTTTTATTTGTCCTAATACTATGTTTAAAAATTTATTACTTAAATATTTATAGAGTTAATTTAAAAAGTCCATTGTTTTTTGAGAAATTCTAGAAGAGCATTCTATAATTAGCGTTTTGGACATGAAGCAGCCGTATTTTAGATAGTTTCATGAGGTTATTCTTTCAGCGTATATCGACACAGAACTTTTGTGCAAAAGTGAGAGCGCTATATGTTGGATTTGTTACTGTAGATGATTCATTAAATTTGCAACTCACAGAGAACGGTTTTTCTTTATCTCCGCCGTCTCGTTGAGAAAAATCAAACGACAAAATTATTTCTACTTTTCGCTCCGGTCGTAGCAAAACTGGATACGGAGAGTTAAACGCAATACCAGCGTCGACGAGGCAAATCGTCTTTTGATATCCCGTCACTTTGTTATAACTATCATCTGGAAAATGAATGTAATCAATGTCAACGATTGGTACATATTGTGAAACTTAAGCAAATGTTTGCATAAGGAACTCTATACATGACAAGATTATTTGCAAACAGTTATCATTACTTTGTTCTTTTTTGAATTCCAATCCCCGTAAAGCATTAAAAACCACTGCAGCTTTTCCTCGACGACTCGACATCACGTTAAATGGGTTTAGGGCTTCCAATAACCAACACTTATTACCTTCGGAAATGAACATGGAAGGCGTTTGAAGTCATGCGCACAAAGCATCTTTCACAGAAAGCAGTTTAAACATCATTTTAATGGCATCATGTACGACTTGCGTGGATCCACAAATTTTAAAGGATATAATAGAGTATGTAAAGAAATAAAAAACAGAATCAAGAACGCAAAACCTTGATTTATAGCTATCGACCAATTTTATTATTTCATCATAACTGCACAGTGTTGAGTTTTGCCTATATGAATAAATAATATTTGAAGACGTACTTTCGTATACATCTTCTGGTGACTTTGGCCCATCTTCGCTTTCATTTTCTTTTTCGTCTTCGTCATCATCCTCATCGCTGTCGTCAGCTTCAGTTTTGCATTCTTTTGCTTCCTTTAAAGCATGCTCGGCTGTGAAAGAGAAATGAAAAGCAATAAAAATATCGGAAACACTTAAGAGAGATATCACGCATTCTCACACTTACCCATTTCGCTTTGAATTTCGTGATCTGACTTGTCGTCTTTATTAGTTAATGTGTTTAAAATTATGCTGAATGCACTTCCCCAAATACCTAAAAAAGAAACATTAAGAAGGTTTTCTATAAGATCATTCTGAGGTTTTTCGGAAGTGGT